TTCTACTCACACCGCCTCCCCACCCGGCAGGTCCCTTCTCAGCATGGCGGCGGCTGCACATACACAGACCCACTCCCTCGCCTGCTGCTTCTCCCTCGCTTATCAGTGCAAGGCGCCGCGGGAGAGAAAAGGAGGCGGGCTGGGAAGGGAAGCCCCCACCGTGTTTGCCGCCAGCGGGTAGGAGAAAGGACAGCGAAGGTGTATGTACGCCCGAGCGCATGGGAAGACGAGCGCATGCCCAGATTAAAAAAAACAAAAAAAACACACACAAAAAAACGCCTGTGTGAACAGTACTTCGCGCGAGGGAAGCGGAAGACAGAGGGACCGTCTGACCACCTCCACCTCCAAGCGATATATATCTCAAGCGATATAAAATGTCACGGATATAAGAATTGCGGGAAAACTACAGCAGTAAGAGGTCCGTGTGACCAGACCCTATGTGTTGGACTGGATGGGCCATTGGCCTGATCCGACATTGGCTTCTCTTATGTTCTTGTGTCTCCATAATTCTATGGCCCCTTCCAACTCTGGGATTCTAGGATTCTATGACTTCTCCTCCAAGAAGTTGTCTAATCCCCTTCTAGAGTCACCATTCCTGGAACTAGCTTTAGTTCAAGGCTGTAAGGCAGAGTCCCACCAACGCAATCCTTAAAATGTTGAACACAACATAGGAGCATGAAGGTGGGACAGTCTTGCTACTATCCTGGCAGGCCGCAAAAGGCTTGAATTGGTTTGCATGCCCCAGTGATGTTTTCCATGAAGCATGCACTTTGTGGTTCAGACACGTGCTTGGGACACATACATGGACGTAAGCGTTTTTGTTCTTTTTGGACTCACAGAACTGCGAGATAGCCAGAGATTTTCCCCCCCAAAAAAGAAGGGAAGTAACTAGTTATGATATGAAAGTCAAAACATTCTATTAAGCATCCAAGCGCTGAAGTCATCAAAAAGAGTTATCTCCCGGAAATTAGACTGGAAATGCAAGAGACGTGGTTTTCTTTCAAGCCCCATTTCCTGCGCATTCCCTGACTCTGGCTTGGCCATGAGATCAATTCCACATGTTGTTGAAAAGTGTGGCTTCAGCTCCTTGTAAACACCCACCGCTGCCAAATGAGATAACTTCTGCCTGGCAGGGAATTTAACCTTTGAAAAGAATCTCCTGTATAGAAACAAACATGCCCTCGTTGGTTTGAATACGGTCTCATACATTTGTTGACAAAACCAGTTTTTAGAGAATCATTGGGGAGAGGGGTTTGGTAAATTCATATGGATTGTATTTTTTAAAAAAAAATTAAAATATAGAATAAAAAAAAAACCCCCAAAATGTAAACCAAAACAACATAAGCTTGTCGCACAAGATATTGCTCAATTTAGCCCCCTTGGTCTTTTGTACAATAGAGCTCGTGTAGCACCAAGTGCAATAGCCAGTCAGCGTCTACAATAAAAACATAAGAACATCAGAAGAGCCCTGCTGGGTCAGACCAGTGGTCCATCTAGTCCAGCATCCCGTCTCACACAGTGGCCAGCCAGTTCTTCTGGAGGGCCAACAACAGGGCATAGAGGCCGAGGCCTTCCCCTGATAAGAACGTCAGAAGAGCCATGCTGGATCAGAACAGTGGTCCATCTAGTCCAGCATCCTGTTTCACACAGTTGCTAGCCATTTCCTCTGGAGGTCCAACAACAGGGCACAGAGGCTGAGGCCTTCCCCTAATGTTGCCCCTAATCTGTGGGATTCAGAGGCTTAGTGCCTCTGAATGTGGAGGTTCCCCTCAGTCACCATGGCTAGTAGCCATTCATAGACTTACCTTCCCTGAATCTGTGTAATCTCCTTTTAAAGCTGTTTATTCCTGTGGCAAGCACTACATTCTCTGGTGGCGAATTTTGCATTTTAATCAGTGCAAGATGTTTCACTGTGCAATAGCAAGCTTGTTAGCAGCCGTGCCTGGGGGGAACAAATTGGACCCCTTTGCTTAATTGTTGATTTAAAGTATTCATAAGCTTGCCTTTCTCCCAACAGAGTTGGGACCCAAGGTGGATAATAAAACAAACAAGAAGTATACAACAATACGTTACTCCTGGCAGGCCAGACCAGAACAAACGGGTTGAAATGAAATCAGAAGAGTTTTCGGCTAAACATTTAGGAAGAAC